ATCTATCTATCTATCTATCTATCTATCTATCTATCTATCTATCTATCCACATGTATCTAAAACATATAAATAAACATATATCTAAATACATACATATTTATATAGATATATGTACACAAAAGGGGGGGGCAAGCAATACCTTATTTTTCTGCAAACCATTTTTGTCTGTGGGTAGACAACACCCATGCTCAATCCCAAAATGTTGAGCTCAACAGAATTTCCCCTGTCCAACGGTTTCATCCTCCTTATAATTTGATATTTTTCTGCCAAACACTTGACAAATACATGATGATTATTTTATTTTTTTACATTAGCACTTTAGTTGCAAAGATTTTTTTGGGGGGGTTATTTGATAAATATATAAATATTTATATAAATATATAAAGTGAGTGGATATATTTAACAGTTTTTAAAAAATGTTGTCTTGAACTTGGTTAGCTGCATTTCTAAACACAGAAGAACTATATCTGAGACTTATATTAAAATCATCAACTGATGCCACTCATATCAGATACAATGATAAGATGCTTTGTGTTGTGTATTTATTCATTTATTTAACACTTTTTTGTTCTGGTGACTTTTTCAAGCACTTTCAATCAGCAAAGTTATTTTATGTATTCTTATTAAACATATTTAAACTTAATTATTGTTAATGCTTAAGTTAATACTGATAAAGTGTTGTGTGCTGTGATCCATCTGATGTTGCCAAATAAACAATTCATCTAATGAATTGTTTTTTTTTTTCCTTGTCAGTACAATCCATTCTTAAGAAATACTTGATACAGAATGACATATGCACTCTGCTCTAAACTTAAGACGGGTTTCATTTAACATGATCATTATGGTAAGGAATGGTCAGAGATGGGTTTTTAAGAAGACATTTTAGTGTTTTGTTTCTCATACAGGTCAATAAGATTATTACAGTAACGGAATTTACACGTTTTAAAGTTTTGAATTAATTCTGTATTGATCAGTGGAAAGTTTACCTGAGAACAAGTCCAGGTAAAAGGCACTGTAAAGAGATGGCAAAATGAAGATTTTAGCTGGTATCTCAACTATTTTTCCACTTAGAGTTTGATTTTGACCTCTGACCTCCTACCATTTAAGCAAAGACTCTGATTCCTGTAGTTGTTCTACAAGCGGTACAGAAATCGAAGTTTGTTGAAGGGACTGGCCATGAAGGTCTGTAAAATAATTTAAAAGAAATCATTGTGTCATTTGTGAAGATGAATTCCTCCCAGTTTATTTCCAAGTCTAACAGCATTTGTAACTAGTTGATGCAGTCCATTCATTATTGCAATAGTGTACTCGTAAAGAAATGTTTGAAATATTTTAAGAAGGATACATTATCCATAAGAAAAACGTTTAAAAAATTGTATCGAACATCATATGAACACAGTTCATTTGTGGCTGGAGTTGAATCCATCTCAAAGATGAATCAATGAAATACTATACGTTTGATCTCATGTAGTTCTCAAATGGCCTACGCTCAACATGCCCCTCTCACACACTCATTTAGACAATTTCAGTCCACAATAGGGCAGCAATTTTAGTGTCTCAATGGTAATTTTATTCCTGCGATACAAAAATATAATACAATTGTTTGACTGCTTAGACTGGGGGTGTCAAAAGTCGGTCTTTGAAGGCCGCTTACTTGTAGGTTTTTTAGAAGTTTACTTGCTTCAACACACCTAATTCTTATGGATGTGCTATTATCAGGCTTATGTAGAGCTTTTAAATAGATCCATTTAGAATCTGGTGGATTGAAGCTAAAACTTGCAGGACAGCGGCCCTTGAGAATTGGTGCTGGACAACTGGGGTGTAGACCAAAAGGACAGGACATTTATCTTTATTTATTCAAGTCTGTGCATTTTTTATTCCTATCATAGGAACTTCTAGTGTGCCATAGTAGCTGACTTGGAAGATTAAGCCAGGTTGGCACACAAATACTTGCAATTTTTTGGTTCTTCTAATGTATGTATATATTATAATGAATGCTAACATGGAAGAATTTCTGACCATGCCATCTAGTACCATTTGGCTCATTTTTATGGCACTTCCTTAGATTTTTAGTTTTTATCTAGTGTTGCTTTTTTCATTTAGAACTTTTAACCTTCCATGGTCTGACCTTAGTTCGAGGTTTCGTTGACATCTGTGTCTGGGAAGTTTGACAAAACCGGCAGTTTTCTTAGATCATTGTCTTTCCTTTGTATTTTTAATTCACACAGAAGAATTCTCTAGACCAGAAAAGCTTAAAAAAACCTCTGCAAGCCCTTACTGTTATTTACCATCGTTCTCATTTTTTCTGGAAGCATTTAATTTTTGTTTAATGTACTGATATGGCACAATATGTCTTGTGTAGTTTAACATCTGAGATTGTGTTTGCCTCATATATTAACTAGTGAAGATCAGATGAAGAACACAGGAAGCCCAAGACAAACATGCTGGGTGGAGCTTTTAAAAGATTTTTAACCGATCTTAAAACAAGTTCTAAAGTCGCTTAAAGTTTCTGTAAAAATTAAACCGAAAAATTAAACCCAAATAATGGTCAGACATTAGCAAATTCATACAGGTAATACATTTGCTTTCCAGGTTTTATAGAAGATGGATCTAATCATTTGAAGATTCATGTTTTTTCTTAAATCTTAAGATACTTCCCAATCCAATTATATGAAACTTCAAATAAAATGACTCAATAAGGTACACTCCATTAGAAAGGACCAGGACACCATTTATTAGTATCTTTATTTATCAGTACATCATCCCGAAATGAGAACTATCTCTGTTTTTATGCCACCTGTATGATATTTTAAAGGGACATTTCCATATTATTTACACTTTTAGGTTTTATTCTTTTAACATAATAAATAATAACATAATAAAAAAGCTTATAGCCCAGAATTTAACTCAATTTCTTTTGTGCAGTATGACGTTGTTCACCTTTTCTACTTTTGTCTCTCCCCGTGCTGCCACAGGGATTTGGTGTCAAGCCAGCGAGCCGTCAGTGCCGCCACCACTCCCTCCAGAAACTTCTTCTCTACGTTCCTACCCCAAGGCAGGCGCACTCCGGTGAAGCCATCCCAGGTCACTTTAGGCTCCTCACCAAGCCAGGCCACAGTGGGCAGAAAGGAGCCATCAGCAAATCAGGTAAGAGCAGGGAGCTGCTATTTAACTAATATTTAAGAAATGTTTCAAGGAGTTGCAGCTGGTTGCGTTCCAAGGATAACTCCATTAAATGATGCATTAAATCAATGCATTTAAATGCATTAAAATTAGTTTTTCATGCATTAGTCTTGAAAGCGTCTATGGTTTCTCTTGTAGCCCGCAAAGTCAAAAGAAGCACCGCAAGCAAGGGAAGTGAAGCCATTTTCCAGCCAGCCATCCACCATTGAATCGGCAAATTTCCAATCTCAACAGTCTATAAACCAGCAAACTAACCAGGTGACAAACCTGAATCCCAGACACAAGAGAGTCCAGGACCACGAGAAAGAAAGAAAGGAGCTTTTCTCCAAACCACCACTGCAGGTACCTCAAGGCTGGAATCCCTAAACAAAAAATATCATCCATGGTCAAGGATATGCACATTTTGGACAGTTCTTGCTCAAAAAAAGCAAAAGAATTTAAAAAAAAATTAAAGGGAGCTGTACCTTTTTCAGCATCATAGAAGCAGATTCCAAATGAGTTGGTCTTGCCTCCTTTATAGCAGATAGCAGGAGCCATTTTCTTCTAAGTTTCAAATTAGCATGCTTGTACTAGATGTACTTAACACATTGACAGTAGCTGCCAAATCACCATGCTATTAAAAAAAATATGTATATATACGTATTCATTTTGTATAAAACTGTCCTGCTTTTGTGTTCAGATGCCAGAGAGAAAAGGGGAGGCGGGGGATGTGGAGCCACCTGCCGAGACCAACACAGAATCTCAAGATTCCTCAAACAGGAGTTGTGCGGCAGGACCAGATGCAGGAGGCCTGTCAGTAGAGCAGCCGTTCATCAAACTCAGCCAGGAGGAGTATGGAGAACACCACTCCTCCATCATGCATTGCAGGTTTGCCTTCTGCTCTCTAAAACTGAAGGGAGAACCAAATGTTAAATCTAAATCTGGAAATCTCAAGTGATGGATGTTTCTTAACTTGCTGTGATATTCAGGGTTGACTGTTCTGGTCGCCGGGTTGCCAGTTTGGATGTAGATGGAGTCATAAAGGTGATTTTTTGCATTACATTCTTTTTGGGGTTGTTGTACACAGAAAAGAAACAAATCACCTAACCTCATCAGAATAATATGGTAAAAACGTCCCGCCGCCTCCTGATTTTTCCACAGGTATGGTCGTTCAATCCCATCATGCAGACCAAAGCCACCATCATGTCCAAATCTCCGCTGTTGTCTCTGGAGTGGGCCACCAAACCAGACAGACTGGTAAAACATGAAGAACGCTCATTACCTTTTAATAGCACTCAATACGATTTGAAAAAACAGCTTTTTACATTATTGCTAAAAGTTGTCAGCATATAATTAATGCAAATAAAGGTAACGTTCTTACAGTGAGCCTGTGAAACAGTCAGAGAAATGTCTATAAACAATGTTAACACAATTAAAACATGTTTTTGTGTGTGTGTTGTCAGTTGCTGCTCGGCAGTGGGGTTGGCACAGTGCGACTCTACGATACAGATGCGAAGAAGAATCTCTATGAAATGAACATTGATGACACTCATCCACGGTAAACCAGCATGACAAGATTAAGTAACATTAATGAGAAATCCTGTTGCACTTATCATTAAAATCCACATTTGTGGGCGGAAAATATTCTTTGTTCACACTAGACCTATGTAGTATGCTTGGAGTTTGAGTTGAGACTACAGGTTGACTGTATATGGTAATTAACATGTACTTGAGTCATGTTATAACTCACATTGAATGTTGGATTTCTTTTAAATTAAGCTAATGTTAACATCTATTTACCATATTTACATTGTAGCTTAGTCTATAAGGTTTTTGCTGTTTTCTTCCTATGTCATAGAGCAATTAAATGGATGTCCAACCCTTGGCAGAAAGGAGGAAAATCTTTGAACTGTTTATATTTGTTAGAAATAACTAAATTAGAAATGCCACAACTTAGACATTTTTTTAAATATGTTCCCAACTTTCTATTATTGCTGTTGCCAGATCAGTTTTGCAGATTGCAGCATTGTCTTGCTATTTTTTTTCCAATTTCCACAAGAGATATCCCTTATCACTTTGATGTTTTCCTTACTTTACCCTGCGTGCTTCCCTTTTGCATCCCTCCTATTTTGTTTGTACCGCGTCCAGATTTTAAGCACATTTCATTATGATCTACCTTCTTAATTAAGTTTTATAATTCTCTTCTTTTTATTGAACATCTCTCATGTTGGAGTAATGATTAATGGCGGTCTCTCTAAGCTGTGATCACTCTTTCATAAATTAGGACGAATTAGCACGTCTGATAAGATGCAGTTTTTTGTTTTATGTTCCTAAGAATTAAGTGATTAAAGGTTTTTTTCTTTACAATTTCGACTGACTACAACAATAGTTTTTTCTTCTTTTGAATTTTAAAGAAAAATAGATTTTGTGGCATGTCTTTGCGATTAACTTTTTTCTACAAAGTTAAACAATTAAAAGAAGTTTCTCCAAGAAACTCTTCCAAAATGTCTCCAATGCTGTATCCATAAGAAACAGCAGTAGGAATGTTATCAAACAGTTTTATGTAGACTTATTTTTAAAAGGTTTTGACTTCACAATGTAAAATAAGCTACATTGTTCAGTTTTTTGGGCCATGGATAGTGTTTTATTCTCTGAGTACAAAGTTAAAAATAATAACGTTGCAATAGCCTTGATGAATTTTCTCTCTCTGTCAGGATCTTGTCTTTAGCTTGTAGCCCGAGCGGTTCGTCGTTCGTCTGTTCAGCTGCAGCTCTCGGCCGATCTGGGAACGGAGAGTCCGCTCCTCGGCTTCCTATACCGGTGTCTGGTCAGTTGCTGCTGTGGGACACCAAGACTGTCAAACAGCAGGTGGGTAACCAGCTGTGTAGCTAGATTAAATTCAGGTTGTTTACAGGCTGCTCGCAAGTGTCACGTGTGTCATTTCCAGGCAGTTCCGTCTAAATGCAAGCTAGGAGCAAGAGTAGATTAATTTAGATTGAGTCTTAACAAAAGTTTGACGTAGTCTAACAGCACAGTGTTCTGTGAATTATGAAAGAGGAAGACAATGTTTTTTTTAACTTGGCCGTTAATAGTATTATATATTAAGAAAGACATTTGAATTCTGTCAGGAGGATAATTTAATTGATTTAGTTGCAATTTAGCTAGCATTTTACCAGTGTTTTTTTGTTGTTGTATATTTTAGTTTTAGTACACCCTTATGTGCACACTTTGATGCATGAGTTGTTGGAATGAACATTACAATTAAACGTTACAAACTAATGATAATTAATACCTTAAACTGAACATTCATTGTAGCTGCATTTATTTAACATATTTTACATGCAGTTTAGCACATACATTATATTCTATGTTGTATTACAATGTGCATCTTGACTTTTGTTTTCTTAGCTCCAATTCTCTTTGGAACCTGAGCCAGTAGCTATTAACTGCACAGCCTTCAACCACAATGGAAACCTGCTGGTGACTGGAGCTGCTGATGGAGTCATTAGACTGTTTGGTCAGTATTTATTTCTTTTCTGTCATCATTTATCAGAACCCAAATATCAAATACCACGTTTTATTTAAAGTGGAATTTGGAACTGCGTAGAAAACAAACAATCGAACAAACTTTATATCCAGAATTGGCTTAATTATTTATTTATTTATTATTTTTACAGTTAAGCGCCTTTTTTTATGACGGTCGATGAATACAGACAGTATGTGCAGCTTCACTACTGTTTGCTTCAACAGAAAATACATGAAATACATATTTTAGACATAGCTGTAAAATTAGAATTATATTGTAAAATATTTTTGCCTTAAAACATTTAATTGGAAATTACACAGATACACCTAGGTCCATGTATGTGCAATGACTGAGAAAAAAACTACAAGTTTTGCATTCAGCTCAATTTATATTAGAGAGAAGAACCATGTGCTACAAAAAATATGTACCAGATTCAGAGAATAATTCCCTAAATGTAACAATTAAACACAAAATTCCAATACTGGATCAATACGTATTAATGAAAAACCTCCAGTGAGCAGTGATGACCAACACATATTTAGGGTCATCATGTCAGAACCTCCTTTCACCAGTGTTTCATCTGGATGGTCACACGACACCTCCAGGAGGCTGGCAATTGATCACTCTGCCCCAGAGTCACTCCCATAATGCCTGCCATTACTACTCCTTACACAACAACTTATAACTTTTTCACCGAAAAATAGTACAACTATAAGCGGGGTGGGGATGCAAACCCTGGTTCAGGTAGGGGGTAGGAACTGGATACAGACCCTGTTTCGGGTTGGGGGTAGTGGAAGCACAGTGGGTGTAGGAAGCAGAAGCCTAACCTCACCTAAACAGTCCTGTAGTCACTAAGAATAAAGGATAAAAATAGACAAAGGCATTAATAAACAAGGACAAAGCTCTTAATAGTGCACAGGCAGTAGGCTGTTCTTCTTAGCTGGCTAACAATCCAAAGTAAGTTTGGTATGTTACAGCTTTAACAGACTCTCATCCAACAGGAGTTATAATTTTAAAGCATGTGCAACCAAAATTTTTATGACTTATTATGTGCAGATTATAGGTTATTTAGCTCATATTAAACTCAGGTTTTAAAACAATTATACTGTATTTATACTGTATTATAATGTCATATAGGTTACAATGAATAATCACAATCAACAAAAGAATTATATTTTAATTTGTAAAGCTTGATTTAAACATTATAACTGCATTTTATTGATGTGGATAATGGTCAGTGTGCTTCACAAAATTGATTTGGAGGGAGCGAGAACTTCTTTTGCAACTGTATTTTTCTGTATTTTTTAAAAATACACTTACATCCTATAAACCGTAGTAAGGAAACATCCCTCTGAATTCTCAACCTTTCCCTTTTATAGATATGCAGCGTTATGAGAGTGCTATGAGCTGGAGAGCCCATGATGGAGAAGTTTACAGTGTGGAGTTCAGCTACGACGAAAACACAGTTTTCAGCATCGGGGAGGACGGCAAGGTTTGTGAAGGCCCAACGTGGAGGAAATAAAAGCAAAACATTGTCAAATAGTGTTTCAAAACTGTAGACGGTTGACTTGAATATATGTGTCTGTGTGTAGTTCATCCAGTGGAACATTCATCGCTGCGGCGTGAAGCAGTCAGAGCAGATTTTACCTCAGGATGCTACCGGACCCTTCGTCCTGTCGGGGTACAGTGGATACAAACAGGTAACCGGCGTTTCCATGAAAACAGCCGCTTTATTTCAGGAATTAACCAAAAAAAGGTTCGGCGTTTATTAAACTTGTTCACAAATCCTTTTTGAAGGTTCAGGTTCCGAGGGGTCGACTCTTTGCATTCGACTCGGAGGGACAGCACACATTAACCTGTTCCAGTAGCGGAGGACTCATATACAGAGTATGCACAATTTTGTACAGCTCAATAATAATATTTGGAATAACTTGGCTTTCTTTGATATTTAGCTGTTAAATAATATATTTAATTTTTTTGGATATGTTGAGCAAGCAAACTGGAACCATCTATTTCAGTTTTTGATGAGCTTCCATTTTATTTTCAAGTTGACCAATGGGGAGCCAGCCCTGGAGAGAGTGTTGTCTCTGGGTGGGCACAAAGCACCAGTGGTGACGGTAGACTGGAGCTCAGCGGTGGACTGTGGCACCTGTCTGACAGCATCCATGGATGGAAAGATCAAGCTGAGCACACTTCTGGCACAGAAGTCTTGACCAATGACCTTATAGTGGACACCTGATGGATAGAGTTTCATGACACCCAGTGACTGATGTAGATTAGTCCCACGTCCGTCTCAGTAAAAAAACTCATCAATTTGTCGCTAGTTCAAATCAGCATTCAAATTTGACTCAAACTTTGCTCTGAACCATGTTTTCTTTTTGTTCTGTGAACTGTAATTACTTACCTTTTGAGCTTATCAGGAGAAAAATAAATATTCAACCAGATGTCACCTTGAATCATCAATGTTCAACGTATTCCACGGTGCAAAAGATCAATATATGTGACAACTCTGAAATATATATACATAAATATATATCCATGAAGAAATCCACATAGTGAGGCAAATCAGAAGTAAAGCTGACACTGTGGGTATACTTTTTACATGTACTTGAGTCATATCATATCAACATATCTGAATATGTCTTTTATTTCCATTCAGTGAATAAATTATTGTTCACATGTTCAGATATTATTATTATTGGGAATTGCTCAAAATTAGTTTGAAATAATTAAAGTCATAGGATAAAATATGTTTATTCACACGTGCTTCTATTGAAACATTTGAATCTGTTACTAATGCTTTTGTTTCCTTTGTGAGGTTTTACTGAAGAGCATAGTTTTCATGAGAGCCCAATAGGAATAATCCCACTCTCTCCATCTGTAGTTCTCACATTCTGCCAAAGGGGGCGGAAGAATAAGGCGGGGAAATTATTGGAAGCGAAGAAGAAGAAACAGGGGTCAATAACAATGAGCGCGCAGTCAACATAGCTGCATTCCGCTCCATTAACTAACATTTTGCTAAATGGAGCTTCTCTACGAGCGGAGTTTCCGTAGAAAATTTGCGGGGACGGCGCTTGTTTAAACACACTGAAATAATTGCGCGCGGAGTCGTCTGGCGGCGCCATGTTGTGTCTTTTGACACAGATATAACATTTGCGATGCGCAAACTGTAGCGGGCAGCTAGCTGTTTCGCGAGTGTGTTTACGTCGAGCACGTTTTCTCCTTCCTTTTCTTGGTTTATTTTTTTTAATGCCCCTTGTGCCCAGAACTCCGTGCAAAAATGGAGAGTTTGTACAAGCGGAAAATGTTCGCGTCGATGCGAAAGACCAAGGTAGCGGCATCCAAGAAGCGACAGATCGGCCTGCCTGCCTCCATTCTTGACGACAGCGACGAAGGCTCCTTCTCGTCCTCTTCGTCCGGGTCCCAGTCCGACTTCCAGAGCTCCCCGGAGGAGGACAGCGAGCAGGAGGACCAGGGCAAGAGCGAGTCCGGAGCCACGTCCAGCGACGACAGCCGCTCCGTGACCCGGAGGAAGCGCTCGTTTCTGGGCGGCGACGGGAGCTCCTCGTCCTCCAGCCGGGGCGAGGAAGAGGAAGAGGAGGAGGGTGACGACGACCGGGACCGGGGTCGCCCGAAAAGCGGGGCGCCCCCCAAGAAACGGAGCCGGGTCCAGCGGCAGGACGAGTCGGACTCGGACCCCACGGAGGAGAAGCGGAAAGAAGAGGAGGAGAAGGCGAAGAGGAGGCAGAGACACAACAAGCTGCTGGCGCTGTCCCGGAGGATGAAGGCCCGCGTCCCCAACCGGAGGAGGAGCCGCCTGAAGCAGGTACATCCACCCCCCCCCCCCCCCCACCGAATTACTGCTGTTTCCCAATGAGATCTGCCTGTTAATTCCAGAAAATAATCAATAATTTCAGGGTGGTGGTGACAAAGAAGAGTCTAAAGAAGCTGATCATAAAGCTGGTGGTGAAGAAGAAGAAGATGAAGAAGAAGAAGAGGAGGAAAACAGTAGCAAGAAAGTTGTGTCAGGAGCTGATGGGGAGGAGGAGAAAGAAGACGGGGGGAGTAGCGGATCTGCACAGTGATGCACAGCAGCAGCAGCATTTTGAATGAAATCTTAAGAACTCCAACAGTCCGAAAAATGAATCTCTGCCGTTGCTCTGTGCACTTTTTCTCTTTTTGCGTTTTTCAAAGTGAAAAGCTGAGACCTGGAGTTTCGTAGTTGCTGCAGATATACGCTGTGATCACCCCCCCCCCCAAAAAAAAAAGACCAAAAAAGAGGATGTGAAGCTTCGTCTTTGAACTGTTGTAACATGCTTTATGCGGCTGCTTCAGACTCTGAAGTTAGCCGATGCTTTCTCGCTTCAGGCGGTTGATTCTAAGTGGTTAGACCGGCCGGGGTCAAAGGGCACACTCGGTATGAAGATGCTTTTTCCTGCCGAGCAACCTTTGACACATGAGGAACAGGAAAAAAAAACTAGGCTTATGCATTTAATCTCTAAAATAATCATTGATCAGTTTCCTAGCAGCCATAACGGATTGTCCCACAGAGAGCTGGTAAGCGGATCTTGAGATGAGTTTGTTTTCTTTTTCTTTCTTTTTAAACCAAGATCTACTGTGGACATTTTTCCTCAAAGGAATGATTTTGCACAAGGGCCCAGTAGATCAGCAGTAAGTGTCCAGTGCTCTGGAATTTGAGTGTTTTCTACAAAAGTTAGATGTTCCAAAAAAGGGCTGGATTTACAGTACATGGTGACATATTGGTTGTAACCGAGACTCTTCTGATTCTATTTATACGTGACATGCTGAATACAGAGGGTAAATTTAATATAGTTAAGACAAAGCAGGCATAACAGAGATATAAACCCTTTTAAAAATCCACAGATCAGATTTAACCGCGCTGGATTATATCCAAATTGGGCCTGAATGAGCACTCAAGCTGTCTTATTTTTATGGCCAAATCTGCTTTTGACATTGTCCACCTGTGATCCGACGCTTCAGGACAGATGTTTGCAGCAGGCGTGAATATCCTCTAAAACCGGGAGTTGTTTTTTTTTTTTTTGTGTTCAAAACTCAGCTCTGCTCCGGCTAAAGTTTGGGTTGCATTTGTCCCTGGATGGGAAGAGTGGCTTTGTGAGCGGGGCTTTCTAGTGTCTACTCGTTATCATCGACGATACGCTTTACTATGTGAAATATCTTTATATAGTGGTCCATAGAGTCCCACAGAGCTTTGCTACAAGAGATCATTTAATGGCTGTCCCATCCTCACCTTCTCATTTAGCTCCGGTCTTATGGATGTGATAAACCCCTGGAGTTTCTGGGTAATGCAGTATTTAGCGACTTTACATATACCCAACTGACGACACTCAATGTAATTTGTCATATAATTTCCTCTATTTGACTCTTCCGTCTCTTAGCAAAGATTATTGTACTATTACCGTACAGATTTTTATTGTTTTTAATTGTTCAGAAGTATGAATTCGGATAGGTTGGTTGAGTTCAGATGCCCTCAAACATGAACATATACAGCTGCTCTGTATTGATCACAGTTTTTTAATTCCTCAACCAAAAAAAAATCTTAATTTAGGGGAGTTTTATATACCTTTTCTTCAGAGTTAAATTCCTTTTACCATCCTCTAACGGCAGTATCTTTCCCTTCAATCACTGAAAACTGTCTCAATATTGGCTGAAACAGGACATTTTGGATCAATTGAAACACGTTTGAAACGATAACCTGAGAAAGAATTATGCAGTGAGAGTGGAACAGTTTCGTGACAATCCATTGCTACGAGTTCATTTCATTGTCAGTTTTCCGCAGCATCTCACAAACCTGGATGGACCTAGCTTGTTAAAAAGTTATAAAAGTTTGGCCACAGGCATATATTGCACTGAAAAGGCAACATTGAGACATTTGAAGACATTTGAAGTTTGACACTAACTCAAAATTGTTTTGAATACTTTCATTTTTCCAAGAGCAGAACAGCCAGTTATATTTATGTATCTAAAGTATAAAATGTCTAATATAACAAATTGGATAAAACAAGGCTTAACCTAAATTTAATTAGGCCACACTTTATCTCTTTTGCAATAATTGGTCAGTTACAATCCCTGTCTGAGAAGACTTTTCTATTTGTGTGCGACAGGATTACTGAATGACATTTTTCTAATGTTTCTGTTTAAATCATACCAAAATAAAGGCGTGAGATGAAGTGAAAACGGCACTTTTCAGTATTCTGAAAATATCCAGTCCAACCAGGTACTTCTATCTAGCATTATTGAATTTAAAATATAAAACAGGATCTCATGCTATTTATGTTATGTATTGATTTTCAGTGAAGCTCACCACCTTATGGGAAAGATGGAAAGCAATATCTAGCCTTGATCCTGTGTATTAAACAAAAGGTGTTGTTTGCTGAACTTGTTCTACACGTTTGTCTTTTTTTCAGATTCAGTTTCAGAGAAATGCTTTTTGAAAAAAGACTTTGAGCCACCGTATTACAGGCATTTAATTACTGATCCATCCATCAGATAAGAGACGCTAATAATTACAATTTGCTCCTTTTTTGTGTGAACTTTTTTCTTCTACTCCTTAAGAAAAATCCGTTACCTCCCTTCCTGTTTTTTGTAATTATGTTTCTTAAGTGTGGTCATTGTCATTGTTAAGGAAGACATGCTTATGTATAGATATATACCCATTTCTTACCTTTGACAAACCTAAATAAGCTTTCAGCTATTATGAAACTAGGCTATGAGGAATGTTGTGTCCAGTTTTCAGTGTGTGCTGAAAATGAATCTGCAGAGTGTTCAAGAGCCTTGTGGCCTTTTCTGCTTTTTTGTACGTTTACCAAATGGACTGTTTATACACCGAGTATACTTGCACATAATATTCACATATCAGTGCCATGTACCTGCCCGTTTCCATTGCATCTCTGCTCATTTTCTCGCTGTATAAAGCTCTTCAGACCAAGCCAAACTGTTGAAAGCACTTCCTTTATCGATGATTGCTTCTTTTTCCATTTCCAGAAAATTAAAAACTCAAAAAATAGCCTGGATCAGACTTTCTTAGTATCAGGTTTAGGTGGAAACTGAACTGATTTATTTACACTGGCGTGGTGGTTTGCACCGTTAGGAAGAGGGTTCCTCCGGTCAAATCCCCGATGGACCAGGGGCCTTTTTCTGTCTGGAGTTTGCATGTTCTCACCATATCTGGTTGGATTCCCTCTGGGTACTTCAGCTTCTTCCCACGGTCCAAAAACATGCACGTTAGGAATGTACTAACACTCAATTTTCACAAGTATAGGAAAATCTTAATGTACAATTTAAGAAAAAAAAAATTAGCTGATATTTAGGGTTTACAACTGATATTGTACTGTGAGAAAATTGGGTTTTTCATAGCAATGGCTTTTATTTGTTTACTACTAAAGGTGTTCAAAAGTTGGTAAAGACAACGTTTAATTTGTTTCCTAAATTTCAGGAAACAAAAGTTACTAATTTTGTTTGTCTTTTTAATCCAGATTTAAAGTATTTTTTTTCATCCATAGTGTTGTTTTTTAATGAGAAAATAATAATTTTAATTCAATTATAGATGTTAGCAGAGACAGAACACGTGTTTTGTTACTAAAGCCATAAATGTTAGACTTTTCCTGCGTTACAACAGGTGCCAAATCTGGATGTGCCTTTAAATACCTCCGCTAATCATATCCGAGGACTGAGGTCAGGTGACTCAATTCTGGCCGCCATCATTGTTGGTGGCAGTTGAAGCCTTTGCGGAGTGTGAGGAAAAACGGCAGCGGGGCTTTAAGGAGTAGCAGTCCGGGTGCCGTTGACTGCTTTCTGGAGTGAAACTATGGTTCAAACGTGCTCTGCTTACGGCTGTAAGAATCGTTATCACAAAGACAAAGACATTTCTTTCCATAAGTAAGTAAAATCGAAGTGTTGACGTAGGCTAGTTAGCTTTAGCCGTGAAAGCATGTTGTTTAAACTGGATGTCGCACTGCTGTTGAGAAACAGCAGGCTTTAATTACCAGATTGTTTTCAGCCTTACAAAAATTGACACAAAGCAGTTGTTGACTGTGGGGGTTTCAACAGGTAATTTTGGAACGCAGGTCACTTAAAATATATTTTGGTATAGTTGAAGCAGTACGTCAGGTGTTTACCGCCCGTCCGACAATTTCCCAGTTCCCTTTGAAAAGTAACAAACGAACCTCCTGTAGCTGCAACACAACACAAGTTAAGACATAAATAAAAAATTAAATGTAACTACAGTTAGCTAGTCATTGTAATGCCCAATTAATGCATTTAAAGCATCATATATGTGTTCAGAAGCTAAATGAAACCCCACAAAATTTGAGTGTCAGACACAGGGATGTTAGATTTACCTAAAATACTAAACTGGCAACAGCTAGCTTATATATCTACGTTTGTTGGCCAGGTCCCTTTTGGTGCAACATGTGGATGAAGTCTATCAGGAGGATGTCAACAACTGCAGCTGTAGGGAAGACGAATAGACTTTTAGTAGTTTGTTGCATGTTTGGGGTTTGACAGTAGGATCAGTTCTCTGTGTGGAGTTAGTTAGTCCTACAGAAGGGAAAAACTAGTTTTTTTTTCCTACTCATACTTAGCTAAACTATGAATTATTGATGAGTTGGGTGATCAGTTGAATTCCATTGTTTGCAACTTTACCGTGGACTCTCTCTCAGATTTCCCCTGGCACGTCCAGACGTCTGCGGCAAATGGGTCGCCGCCATGAGGAGGAACAACTTCAAGCCCACAAAGTACAGCAACATCTGCTCACAGCACTTTACCAAAGACTGCTTCAAGAGGGAGTGCAACAACCGAGTCCTGAAGGAGAACGCGGTGCCGTCCCTCTTCATTTTCAGCCTCAACAGTAAGGTGAGACCCCTCAGGCCCCCAGCCATTCCCTAAATTCCATGGAACGAAGCTCCAACGGCTCCTTAATGCTCCCATTTGACGTAGGATATACTGCACAATTATCTGTGACATCATTCTGTCTCACAATTCTTTGCAGCTGCACTTTTTTTTATAGCAACAGCTGATTATCTGCATCCAGTCCTGTTTTAAAGTCTGTTTCATTTACATAAACTTGTAAACAGCAGGGTGAGTGTGAGCAGTTGGTGATGATATTTTGCTTTATGGAATTTAATAGTAAATTAACATCCTGTATTATCTTGAATACTATGTTTATTTATTCCAGTCTGATAATTGTTGCAGTATACGGAGAGTTTTCTAAGCGTAATAGGCGTTGAACATTTGTAGTTTCAGTGCTCTATAATCCATCTGGGATTATTAAAGTATTTGTGATTCTGATTCTATTGCGGCTTTGGGAGGAGATGTCAAAATCTGCTCCTCGACAGCCATTGTTTTTTTTTAGGTTTTATATGCTTTCCTGCTTTAGCACACCTTTTTTAAATGGAATACATCTCCTTAAAATAGTTAAGCTCTTAAGAGCTCATCTTAATTTGGGTAAGGGGTTCTTCAGCAAAGAACAAACCTAAAAAACCTGCTGGACGGCAGCTCTCCAGGACCAGGGTTTGAGATCCCTGTTGTAGAGTAAGAGTGGCCATATTCTAATGTCATATTTCTAATATCAGCACGGTTGTCTTTTCCTGAGTCTTTTTGAATTCTTCCTACTACCTTTAGCTAACATTCAAAGTGAACAAGCATTGAAAAATGTTTGACCATTTGAGTGGACTCTACAGGTGGCTGACAAAATGTCTTGAGGCAGCAGAGGTGTGATACGCAGTCTGTGCTCACGTTTGTGTAAAATAAACGAAAACAAGCTGCAGAACATCTACACAGGAAATCTGAAGTGAAGGACAAGACAACATTACTATTTTTGCCAGGGAAAGTTTTGTAATAAACTTTTTTCCCCACAAAACTGACAAACAGCTATAGATGTGTGTGCAAGAATAATTTTCGTTTTGTTGTATCAACCAAAATACTGACTAATATCACTGAATCTAATGATATGTTAATCAGATAACTGTCTGAAACTCTCACAAATGGACTGCTGATGGTAGCTAGTAGTTATAAATATCAACACGCCATTGGCTGACTCGCATTCAAGCAATGGGCTCCAATGTCTTTACCTCCTCTGTGGATTATTAAAACTAAACGATTCATGTTTCCAATAACATATCGGTTCCATTAAACAGGTTAAATCTCTCTTTGTGGTGCTCAGGGAATACAATCCAAATATCTTCAGGGAGGTAAAGGATTTATTTTCATCGTCATTCTTCACAGACTTTAGTACCTTTTTCATATTTTTGAGCTCAGATGAAGTTGGCTATGCAGGCAGATGTCCTCGTTCTAAATAATTCCGGCTTGTTTAACTCTCGGCTGTCTTGAATTTTCAGCATGAAGGATGGAATTGGCAGATGTGATGTCTAAAGACAGTCTAGTAAGCCACAAGAAAAGGGCTTAAACAACAACAGAATCCCATAGAGTTCTGATGTCGGTAAACTGCTAACTACTTACCACATAAACCTTTGGTTGCTATCATCTTGAACCAGTGAAACTCAATAAAACTCAAATTGGAGGATATCTGGTATAATCGGATTGAGACTTTGTCTTCAGACCAAGTCCACAACAGGTATGACATGCGAAATAAAGCCTCCAATCGATGAACTTTTAGGCAATTCAGGGGAGAAACAACCCAAAAACATACGTATAGACAGTCAGAGCATCTTTTTTTTTTTTTATCCCCATCATCTGTTTCACAGTCAGAATCGCTGGATGACCCCTTCCCCTCGGAGATGGACTTCCCCCTGCCCCTGCCCCTGTCCTCTGAGCTGGCGGTGGAGGAGCCCGGCCGGAGCGCCCCCCCCGCCTGCAGCGGCACGGCCGCCGTCTCCTGCGACCACAACTACACGGCCGAGGACTCGGCCCAGCAGAAGAAGCGCATCGAGCAGCTGGAGGAGCAGGTGGAGCACCTGCGCAAGAAGCTGAAGACCACGCAGCAGAAGTGCCGGCGGCAGGAGCGCCAGCTCAAGAGGCTAAAGCTGACCCGCGAGGCGCCCGGGCCCGGACACGAGCCGCCGCCCGCATTCGGAGAGGGATACGTGATTTTGCCCAAACACATCTACCAGGCACTCAAAGGCATCGAGTGACGAGGTACAGAGGAGGTAAACTGTGGTCAAGGAAGGGGGCACGCTCTTAATTTGCCCAACAGGGCCACAAACTTCTGAGCCAAAAGCCACTATATAGACCAAATATGGTCTCTTGGGTGAACTTCCCCTTTTTTTCCCCTTTTTTTTTTCTTTTGGTTGCAGTAAAATGACTTCTATTATTTTTTTTTTTTTTTTTTTTTTTAAGTGAATTTATGCGTTAGTCGGTCTCTTGACTAAACGTGGTGTGGAACTCAGGATACTTGTCTTAACATAAGATCTTTTTCAGGAGAGAACTCTGAACTCCCCGTAAAAGTCCCAAACTGCTGACCCAAGTAAAGCGAGTTTCCCACCTCACCCATACTGAGCCAAACTTATTTCGCTTTGTGGTTCCAACTGAACGCACAGTTGTGTCCCAGTAAATAGAACTGACATTTATATTTTGCGCTTTTTTTTATTATTATTATTTTTTCCTCAAGACTCTGAAGTCTGGATGATGGAGCTGGCCACCATATAGAGAAACATGGTCAAATGTCAGCCCCTTGGAGCATCCTCATAAGCTCGTCTAGCTTCTGCTGTGTGCTCTGTGTACACTTTATCTACAGTATGCAAACTGCACACTCATGAACATATCTGGGACATTGTCCCCTCACCAAGTGTCCCCCAAAAGCACTTTGACATGCAGACGCTACTGTGATGGAACCCGTTAGCCTCGGGTTTGAGGACAAACACTAAATCTGGTGAGCCACGGCCTTCCAAAATGTGGCATCATCCTACATGTGTCTTTATCATTAAATAACCTGGAATATTTGCAAAGAACGCACAATACACAAAGATTGGTACAGTGATTTATTTTTTCACTCTTTTTTTTAAAAACTGAATGCAAAACATCGGAGCACATACCTGTGCATTTTTGTAAACTAAATGCTGCTCATTTGCAATAAACTGCAAACACGATGAACTGAATCTTGATTTGTGTATCGAATGATTTACCTTTGACTGTCCAAATACTAAAAAAATGGACCTGATGTATGTTTTTGTTGCCATCCCCATCCTGGTTTTGTCAGAAAAGTTTTCTCTTGGATGTGATCAGTTATCTTCTGCCAGTTTTAGGCTTTAGTGTGAAACATCGCCTCAATTTAATGAGTAACTGATTGGAACAAAATGCATTCGAGAGAGCGACTGCAAGCATTAAAATATAATTTTTTATTTCCGTTTAATACGTTTCCCTCAATATTTAGAACATTAAATGTTACATTAAGGCGGTAATTCTAATTCGCATCTTAGTTTTTAGAATTTAATGTATCATCATGAATATGAGTTACATGAAGCTTTGCAACATCAAAGGTTTTTACATGAGTCCTCTTGAATATTTATTTTTAATCTGAATAAATATAGGGTTGTGTGAAAATCTGCCCTACTAATGGATCTTACCGCCCACAGTTTTACAATAGGCAAAGAAAACCCACCTCTGGCTTATAATGGCAAACGTTTACACAGCTTTTTACATAGTAATATGTTTGGATTTCTTTTGTTGTAATAATATGAATGAAACAAAACAGCCTTTATTGTTGCACTCTCACTCAATCTGACACAGTTGATATTGTTCCTCTTACTGACTTAATCTTATAATTTAAGTTGATTATTTTATTTTAAACGAGGTAAGTTTGTTTTAAATCACAAAACAAAATGGTAGAAATTGGGCTTCTTGCCAGCAGATGTCATCACCGAGCTGGATTTCAAAACAAGTCATAGCACTCCGCCAGTTTCAGCCAGGCGTTGCCTGATGAGGGACCAGCTTGAGAATTATTAAAGAGATCTAGGGGACAGAGTTTTAAAATCCAGGAAAAAATATTAGTCACACTGTCACAGTCGTAGAAGCTGGTGTGTTTAGTTATTTTATTTTGACTAAATATTGGATTCAAATGATTTAGACCTGTTTGCATAAGAAACAAGAACAAGTTTGCTATAAACAAAAAGAAAATGTTTCTTATAAAGGTATAAAAAGTCATGTAAATCTAATATTAAGCATCACCGCTTTGCCACCAAGGTTGGAACATGCGTGTTTTGCTTTTGGTCAAAGGAATGCTAAATTAATAATTTACGAGGACCCAATTGAAGTACACATTTTATTTTTCCATTGGCAGCAGGGTGGTGTTGTGGTTAGCACCGTTACCTCAGAGCAACAAGGTCCTCGGTTCGGGTCCCCGGGGGACCGGGACCTTTATGGGTGGAGTTTCCATGTTCTCCCCGTGTCCCTGTGGGTTCCCTATGGGTATTCTGTCCAAAAACATGCATGTTTGGTTAATTGAACACTCCGAATTTCCCCTTAGGAGTGAACGTGAGTGTGTGTGGTTGTGTGTCTCTGCGCGGCCCTGCGATGGACTGGCAAACCCCCACCTCTTGGCCATTGTCAGCTGGGATAGGCTGGGCCCCCCGTGACGCCCGATGGGAGTAAGTGCTACAGAAAATGGATGGATGGACCATAATAACTCAGACTATAATAATTTTGTGGCATTTCTTCCAGCTCCACCTTCCAGAAAGACTTAAAATGGTTTCCCGGCGGATTGTTTGGCCCGTGGAATATTTGTCCAGGGACTGTGGTTTCTGTGTCTCGTCACGACCTCAACCTTCCTAAGGTGAACTGACCTTTGTGGCTGAGTTGGATCCAGGTGGACATGTTTGGTCTGAAGCGCCGGCCCTGAGGCGTAACACAAGGTTGGCCTGTCCACTCAGCGACTCTCCCCCGGCTGTAGTCTGACCGCTCTCATTAAACAACACCTGATGACCCACTGCTCACCGCATTCGGCGCTCCCGCTGCTCTCTTTATGTCCACAGAGCATTTTCTATTTATCGTTTTCACATTTTACACTCAGAATGTACATAATACAGTTTATAGTAATATAAATGGTTTTGATCATTCACAGATTTTGTCATACAGTAACATATTGAACAGTAAAAATATTCATAAACATCAAACAAAGCTTAAAGAGAGAAAACTTTAAAAAGTGGTTTCAGATGTTTTGCCCCCTATTTAAAAAAATACATTATCCTGAATTTCTTTAATATATTTTAGAAAACAATCCTACTTTAAAAATTGGATGCATAATATTTTAACATTTATATAATAATTATGTCTTTTTATTTTACAAAAAATGAACTTGTTTGGAAACCATATGAAATACACACATTCCTGAATTTATCTGAATAGTTTGACCAAAAATAGAACAGTATCCACATCATGTTTCTCCATAGATCAGATTAAATTCCAGATCATGTTTCTTCTATTCACGCTCTTTTGTTCAGATTTTTCTTGAATCGGTTCATCCTTTGACCCAAATAGAAACTTTGTCGTTTCACTTCTTGTTCTCCTCACTCTGTTCTCTTTGCGTTCATCTGGACGCACTGTGCACAGAACCCGTAGCGAATGGAGGTAAGTGGACCAGCATTAATAATGATCATATCTGTGACGTACACAAATATAAACACACTGGCATGAATTCAAAATCTTCCCAGCGGCATCTATCAGACACTTAATTCTGCCTGATCTCACTGCCAATAATCTGCTCTTTCCTTAAAAACACTGAAGGCCCCTCAGGGGAGAAGCAAAGTGGGGGTGGAAGACAAGGGGCTCTATCTGTGGACATGGGAGAAACGACTGGAAGGTTGCAACGGTGATTAAAACAGCGTTGGCACTCCATAGAGATTCCCAAACTAATGAGCTTCAGAATATTCCAGAATTGGATATATATCTTAAAGCTAAAATTAAAGTCTATAAGTAATTTCTGTCAACAATTTAGCTTCCTGTGTGTCTGTGTGTCTCCCCCTCTCCTGTCATACTACTGCCAATAAAGGCCACTAAAGCCAACAAAACCTTTAAGACAAAAAAGATTATGGATACACACATGCGCTTCAGGAACATTTTTTAAAATGAGTTAACTGTAAGTCATGCATCAGTCATGTTTTTTCTGGCTTAATGCAATGTTTTAAAAATGTTCATGATCCAGAAGTTGTTGTTGAGAATTGCGAAGTACTGTATTTACATATAAGAAAGAATAATTTATACCTTAGAAACATTTTATTCTTCAGAATTCCTTAATTTTGTCTCTAATGTTGGGTTTAGCTTTTAAATGCTAAATGGACAAAATGTCCACAAAGCTGGTAAATGGTTAAGACAAAATAAGAGCTTTTTACCTATGTGGTAGTGAGTAAAAACGTTTATTGATACCTTGACAGTAAACGAGAGGCACTTGAGGCGTTTTAAGTGATTCTTGTTGTGGTATGACCGTAATAAATTAAGCAGAGTCATTGTTCCAGGTGCAACCCAGGTTAATGTTCAGAAGAACAATGAAATAAAAATGCTACCTGTGGTTGTAGTGTCAGGAACAGGGCTGAACCTAGCTGGCCGTGGCTAGATACAAATGTTGGGCTTACACAGGAGAAAAGAATAAAAAAAATCTACCCGATTAGAAAAGTGACCCTGGAGGAAGTTTTTAAAGAGAATGCGGTGGTTTTCAAAGAAAAACTATGTAGGTTTAATGGACCCCCAGCAAAAATGTACAAAGATAAAGAGGTGGTGCTCAAGCTAAAGAAGGCACCGAAGGTATAGCCAGGTCTGTACCCTAGGCCATGAGAAGAAGAGCTGAAGCAGAACTAGATCATCTGCTAGCACAGGTGATCATTAACCTATGAGATACTGAATGGACACTGGATACTGAATGGCCCCAGTCCGAAAACCGAATAAGAATGTGTGAGGACCATAAGCTGACGGTAAATCAAGTGTGGGTGGCATGGTGGCGTGATGGTCAGCACCATTGCCTCACACCAAGAGCGTTCTTGGTTCAAGTCCCTGGGAGACCGGAACCTTTCCTGTGTTTCTCTGTTTTCCCTATGTCTGCATGGGTCCTCTCCAGGTACTCCAGCTTCCTCCAAAAACATGTTGTTTGGTCAATGTAACACTCCAAAATGCCAAGTGTGTGGTAGTTTGTCTGTGACATTGCGATGGTCTGGCAACCTGTCCATGGTCAGCTGGAATAGGCTCTAGCCCCCCTACCGTGACCCAGTCGAGAATGAGCGGAATCTAAAAATCAATCGATGGATAAGTCAGGAGTCCAAGAAGGAGCGGTGTTTATTTCCACAAGGACAGCTGTGGTAGT